GGGTAGGGCCAGGTTGCAGCTGCTTTTAAAAGAGGGGAAGAACGAAGCAGTTATTTCAGTAGTGACGTGAGCTGTCAGAAGAAAGATTGGAGTGCTTCACCCAGCTCCCCCGAGTAGCGCAGACGTCTTGCGGAGCCCATCGAGGCTGGTGATCCCATCCTTTCTTCTCCACTACTCAAGTTCATAGGAACCTACTGCCGCCGCCACCATGAATGAAAGCATTATCGTGAGTACTCATGCCTGGACTTCTTTCTGTGAGGAAATCTTCGCTACACAGCCAGCGAGGATTAAGAGATGCTCTGTGAGCTTTGAGTCTCCTTGACATGCGAGATGTGTGGACAGGTCTCCGTACCTCTTCTTCATTCTTGCTGTAGGTGTTTCAACTTCGAGGTTATTAGCACAAGTCTGCGTACTAATGTTGCCTTCATTCAAGCTTGCACTAGACACATACCTGGGTGTTACCTAGAGTATACCTGGAGAGAGCTTCGGGGATCAACGTCCGAGAAAACAAGACATAAAAGGATCTCAAGTAAGGCACACTGCTTGTCATTCTTGAATAACAAAAAAGGCTCAATACCGTGACTGGAACAATACACAAATAACCCGCACATAGAAGAAAGGAGCTTACAACAACGTTTCGGTCCGACACGGACCATTCTTGTCCTGAAATCCCCGGGTTAATATTAAGAAAAAAAATCTTACATTTTCACTGCAAGACCTGTGCCTGTCTTGAGAGATGCTCTGTAAATCTTCTCAGCGATTTTGTTTTGCCTTTCTCTTTCCTAAGGCTGTATAGAGTTTGTCGTAGGCACTGTTTTGAATAGGCCTGCTCCTTAGAACTGTAAAATGTATCGTAGACACTGTTGTGGATAGGCCTTCTCCTTAGAACTGTAAAGTGTACCGTAGGCACTGTTGTAGACCTACTGTTTTGAACTGTGGAGTGTGTAGTAGTCCCTACTACACACTCCACAAAGGGGGTAGACATACTCCTTCGGACTGTGTAGTGTATCTAAGGCACTGTTGTGCGATGGCCTTCTCATTGCAAGTGTGTGGAGTTTGTCGTTTGTCGAGTATGTAAGTTTTGTCAGTAGTCCATGAAAGTATTCAGTCTTAGAAATGACATTCAGTCTTAGAAAGTGACATTCAGTCTTTGAAAGTGACATTTTCTGACGAATTTGCTCTCATCAACATACTAGTTCATAGTTCCCGTAATTAATCTGTATCTGAGTATTTGCTAAACAACTGATTCTATTGTACATCAACAAATTAGGATTTCCAGAAGGACTTCCGCGGGTGAGATTATTGTTGACGGATAATGCAAACCTAATTGGAAAAAAAATACGTGGAATGGGGGGGGGGGGGTTGAATTCACGGCAAGCGAGTCCCCAAACTCACAGGCCAGTGCGTTAACCACTTGGCAATCGTGCTATTACAAGTGGAGATCCACCTGCTTTTTCTCTCTCTGTCAGTTACAGAAACTTGATTTTACAGCAAGATACTAACATTTGTAAAAGATTTAGTGTATAATCTTTTCTACGTACTGCGTTTGTATTCCTCAGTACTGTGTGTCGTTAGGCACTCTGTGTTTTCTTAGATACTGCGTATGTTCTTAGGCAGGGTGTTTGGTTGGTATATTATGTGCATGTTTCTAGGGTGTTAGGTTCTGAATATGTTCCTAGGCTCTATGTATGATTGTTAGGCTATGAGTATTTTCCTAGGCGTTGTTAAGTTCTGTATATCCTCCTAGGAGGTGCGTATGTTTCTAAGAGATGTGGATGTGCCCCTAGCAACAATGTACGGGATCCTAGGAACCATGTGTATTTCTAAGAACAGTATATATTGTACTATTAGCAATCTAAATGATACATTTGCTACAACCCGTGTGCCCCAACACTTCCCATGTATCACAAATGTATCGAGTAAAATTACTCGCCAGTCTTGCATCCTCTCTTGCATCAGGTCGAAATGTTTTTAATTAAAATGAAAATCTTATTACCAAAAAAACGAATGCTGTGATACTTTTTTTGGATTATATATCAATATATAATTTTATTTGAAAAAAAATTATTATTATTATTATTATTATTATTATTATTATTATTATTATTATTATTATTATTATTATTATTATTATTATTGTTGTTATTGGATAAGTATTTTCAACATTATTGAAAAGAATTCCGTAAGTGACTTTAAGATGACTTTCCGCAGGGGATAGAATTGACTGATGAAATGTAAATGAGATCTGAAGATGAGGGGAAAAGAATAAGGGGAGAGAGAGAGAAAGGGATCGTGTTTCAGTGAAGAGGTAAAAAAAAGAGCGAGGTAAAGGGGTGGAAACGTGAAAGGGCAAAGGAAAGTAGAGAATTAAGTCACAACACCGTAGCCTAAAAATACCACACACACACACACACACACACACACACACACACACACACACACACACACATGAGGGAAATTGGCCTGACGACACTGGAGGCCAGGAGGGTCAGGGGAGACATGATAACGACATACAAAATACTGCGCGGAATAGACAAGGTGGACAAAGACAGGATGTTCCAGAGATGGGACACAGACACAAGAGGTCACAATTGGAAGTTGAAGACTCAGATGAATCAAAGGGAAGTTAGGAAGTATTTCTTCAGTCATAGAGTAGTCAAGCCGTGGAATAGCCTAGAAAGTGAAGTAGTGGAGGCGGGAACCATACATAGTTTTAAGGCGAGGTATGATAAAGCTCATGGAGCAGGGATAGAGAGGACCTAGTAGAAATCAGTGAAGAGGCGGGACCAGGAGCTATGACTCGACCCCTGCAACCACAAATAGGTGACAAATAGGGAGTACACACACACACACACACTTATATACAACAGGCCAAGTGTCTAATCGACATGTGCCTAGGACAAAATGGTAACTAACACACACACACACACACACACTAACAACAGGCAGTCAACAGTGAGTACGTACACAACACACACACACACACACACACACACACACACACACACCACACACACACAAACACACACACACACACACACACACACACAACACACAACACACAACACAACACACACACACACACACACACACACACACACCAACACTCACTCACTTTTATATACAACAGGCCAAGTGTCTAATCGACATGTGCCTAGGACAAAATGGTAACTAACTAACACACACATACACACCTACACAGGGCCAGGAGCTGTGATATGACCCCTTCAACCACAAATAGGTGAGTACACACAACCCGCATTTAGGAGAGCGAAAAAACTGACAACATTTCGGTCTGACCTAGACCAATAACAAGTCACTACCGCCTCTGGCTCTCCATATCACATCCCTCTCCCCTTCTTTACTCCCCTCTATCTCCTTCCCACTTCGCCTCTTTTCCCCTTCCCCGCGTATCAACTCCCCTCAGGGGGAACCATAACAGAGCCACGGCACTGTAATGTACCAACGGGTAGTATGGACTTTGTTGCTGATTTATGAAACAGGAAGCTGAGAGGGCAAAGAGAGGGGGAACACGAGTAAAAATAGTCCCTTAGAAAGAGAAAGGGAACACCACAATACAGGAGTATACATCTTACCGTATATACCCTGAGACTAAACCTTAAGCCCTTGTTTAGATCTTAAAAAAGCTTTCTTTACTAATATCGAACAGGTGACATGCAACCTTGAAGGACCTTTAAGTAGTCGATAGGCTTTAACCCCAGATAGCAAACTAACTTATCAGTCAACAACAACAGCAGACAACACCATCTTTATATGAAAAAAAAATAAAAAAATAAAGAAAATTTATATTAATTTACGCAGCTGAAGTGGAAAAAAATAACTAAGTTTGACTATGAAATCTTGAAACAAGTGATTCTGAATAATTAACAGAACTGTGGCTAGCTAGGATTCGATCCTGAGTCACCATGCCCAGCCCTGTGAGAACAGGACAATGTACGCATCACTATCCACTGGACCAACAATTCTCAAACATAAGGCACCCAGTGAAACTGGGCGTGTATATATATATATATATATATATATATATATATATATATATGTGTGTGTGTGTGTGTGTGTGTGTGTGTGTGTGTGTGTGTGTGTGTGTGTGTGTGTGTGTGTGTGTGTGTGTGAATAAACAGGAGGATGGACGAGGGGCTAAGTTTTTTCAGTCACTAGACAGGCACACAGAAGCACATGAAACCAGCTGGGCCAGTGAGATACGGATGGATCAAGAAATGCTCATCCAGACCACAAATATACTGGATGGAGAAGGTTGGCAGGTAGCAGGAGCCCCGAAGTCCCAGAGGAGACAATGTTTCCTTGCTTCAGATCGGGCAAGCCAAGCCATCTGCAGCCAACAAATTCAGGTTGATAAACAAAAGACATCATGACACCCCGTATGCTGCTATAATTCAACTCGAGAGAATCTCGGTTTCTGGAGGAAATGCCAGGTTAGGACGTACAACCCAGAACTTTTGAGGAGCTTCAGATGATAGAGATACAACCACTTCAGCACTCAATGTCAGTTTAAGGAAATATGCGGCATCTGTAGCTAGTCTCGCCCGACCAAGGACTACTTGGGTACACTGAAGAGAGGTGAAGCTACGGAGCCTAGATGTCAGAACTGCAGCAAGAAGCCTCATAACTGGAACCTGCACTGCTCGGAGAGGCTCTTCCGTATCAAGGCAACATAGAAAAACCACAGATGTCCAGCCTCCACTGAAAAGCAGCTTCGTCCAGAGGTTACATTACCATGGAATCTAGGGCCACTTTCCGACCACAGCGACGAAGGAAGCCGAGGAAGCATCAGCTTCCAATACCTCGGCTCAAACTCCCACCCGACAATGGCAGCCAATGGGCCCCATGCTACAGGAACGGACTACAGGTTAGGTAGGTTTGTCAGCAAACAGGACAAGTGTTTCCTGACGTGGGTCTTAGTCAGATGATGATCGCCGTTGGAGCTTTTGGTCATCTGACCGAGGCCTTCCGCTGTCTTACCGGTCCACCCCTTTAAAAATTATGGTCATAATTATAATCATTTGTAGTTGTTATTAAGAGACTACAGCCAATGCGTCTACCCTAACACCACAACAGTCACCAATGAGGAGCACTTTAGCCCAAGGGAACAGAGTAAGCCATCCTGTACTTCCCCTAAGCAATCAAATGATGGCGACAGCCACGTGCTTCACCGATATCATATGTGACCTGATAGACTTGGAAAAA